CTTGGAGCTTTGAGTCACGTTTTCTCGAATTCGGTAAATTGGGGACAACTTAAATATGAGCAGATATCCAATGAACAGCCACGGGATGCCATGTAGAACTTAATCATAGAAGGCATATGGTCAAACATTGGGCTGAAACGAAAGTGAGATAATTTACAGGAAACGCAATGCGAATGTGTTTCTGTTTTCATCATATTGCCTTTTATTCTGCCGTGGCAACTTAATTATATTCACTTCATGTAAAGCGTCGCTTAATTATTTCAAACTTTTTAAATCAAAGTAGTCTTCTCAAATTATGACGTCTGCTTTTATGCTACGTATCTTACGTTCATCCTGTTTTCATTGCAAATCAATACGATCCCCAAAAAATTCTTGTTTTTACAATATAAATATTAGTTCAGACTACTAAAATAAGCTGTGCTTACCCTCACGTTAACTGCATTTAGATCCACCTTTTGATGATTTTTTTTTATCAGGCTGTTTCTCTATTGTTGCGTGACACTTTTATTGATCATATAATATCTTTAAACCTATTGTGTAAGATCCTTTGAAAACTTAGTATTATGTACTTTCGGAATATTTCATTTTAAAAGCGACGCTAACTATACAAATCAAATTGTGTTTTCTGAAGACTTATCTATCTAAATGTCTCTCTCTGACGACTTGAGCAAACTGTTTTCATGATCTTATAACCGAAAACACTAATAATTCAAAATCACTGGCCTCTGTAGAGATACCTCTTCATTCTGTTTTCAAGTGATGACTCATGTTTAGAAAATATGCCTTTATAGTACTTCCAAAGGTCAAACCTATATTTTCTTAAGATATCATTTTACCAATAAGAAAAACTGGATGTGGCCTAGTCAAATTGAAATCACTGACATTGAATAAGTAAACCTAAACTTTGGTATGACTTCACAACGTGAGCTGGTTATTCTTTCATTTTTTTTATTTTTTTTGACAAGTGAGCAATACATTTGGTGCATTAAATTATTGTTGAGTATTTGTCGAAGGGCTTTTTCGTTATTATTCTCATTATTCCCGTATGAATTATAAACTACTAAAAGAGGTATTATTTGCTGATTTGATGTTTAGCGAACGGATGAGTGAAACAATTATTGTTCTTCAGTTAGTCTGCAATATAGGTCATTTTAGAAATATAAATGTAACTATTATCTTTGTTTCGTTTTCAACACTAGCTTAAAACTTGGTTCTCCTTCTTGTGTTGTTAATATTTAAAATGAGAGATATATAACATGACTAAATACTCATAAATATGTCAACAACTTACTGTTGTGATATTCTCATTATCAAATCTTTGCTGTAGTCTCAATTATCATCATGATTCTATAGCCTGGTTAACAGAACTGAACATTTGTATTTTCTGTAGGATGAGACAGATAGTTATTGATAGTAAAAATTTCTTTAAAAGCTGGTTAAACTTGTGTAGGAAGGAAGCTCAAGGGGTTTACAGAAGATATACGTGAAATGAAGGTCGTTCAACATAAATGCTTTGTAAATATTGTCTAGGGACGTGAAACAACTGATCAGGCGATGGTGAGATTGAATCCAGAGTAACCAGCAAAGATAAAAAGTCGGTTGATAAGACAGTAGATTTATAACTACTGAGGTGATCTACATATCCTTTACATAACCCCAGACGCTGCTTACTTCAGCATGCAGTGTTTTCTGGTGTAGAAGAGAACCTAATTCTAAGTAAGCCCAAACTTGTAATTTACATGAGTCCATTAATTCGGTGATTATCGGTTTGATCTACGTTGAAAGGCAAATACAATGTTATAGAGATTCTCGTTATGACAATGCTCATTGGTTGGGGTCGTTGAGTTGGGTCAGATTAATTAAAAATGACATTGATGAGTCAACTTTTTATTTTCTGGGTCATGAACCATATTTATAACGTTTAGTCTTTCTTAACATTTGTCCTATTACCATTATCTCAACTCCTTAGCTAAATATATCTTTAGTTTCATCTCATGGTTTCAGTGTGGTTTGGTAACATGGCCTACTGGATATTCACGTCAAACTTAATGACAATTATGACTTATTAATCAATTTACTCCCATTATTAGAATTTTGGACAGAAGAAACATGTTTAATATGAGCTTATTACTTGATTTCTGAGTAGTGTTTTGGGTCAGTTGATAAATTATATTCAATTACTTACACTATTTTTTAAACAATGCAAGTCGTTTTTTTCCCGCAAAAAACTTAAGTTTTGGATGATGTAAAGGGGATTTAAGACATCGATTGGTTTTTTTAATCTCAGAATTGGTTAACAAAATGTCATCTAGTCTTCTTTATATCTTTTATTTTGACATTAAAATAGAGCAGACAAGATATTGAAATGGATCCCTTTTAATAATGTATTTTCATTGAATTAGTCAAAGCAAAGTATCTGGTCTTAGATAATAATTTATACATTTTTGAAACCATGAATCGATCAATGTTAGACCACCATTATAAACCTGGAAGCAGTGCGCAACCACGACTCCTGCACCTCGCAGGATTCGAACCCAAGACCTTCGGTATTGTGCGCGAATGCCTAACCATCGGACCACTGAGCCGGGATCTAACGGTGTTAATGTCTAACTTGATCAATTAACGGAGTTGCACAACCTCATACACTGTCTTTGGTAGTTACTGTCTACACCCGAACAGGTTTATAATAAAACTCTTATTTCTACAATTCAGGTTGTCGGAATTTTTGTCGCAAATCCATAATTATTCCTTACAATTATTTCATTTAAACACATAAATATCGATACAGAAGGATACCAAAATATTTATGCGACACAAACTACTGAATTTGTGTGGGCCGAGGAACTAGCCGTGCGTCCAAACCAAAGCATGCGGTTTTCTTAGAGTGCCACATCCCGTGCTTTTAACCTATTGCTCTAATCCACAAGACAGTGAAGCAACGTAAGGAGATGCAGTGCCATGGTGTCAGTCATCAGCAATAGGTTCATACTCTATTCGCTCCATCAGGATCTTGAAGCGCATATGTAATTTTGGTTTGGAATGAGGTTTTCCAACTTTCCCAGATGAGTCTTCCATAGCCACCAAGTCATTTAAAGCTTTTGAATATTCACTCTACGTCTTATTAGGTCACACCAATTTAAGCTGATAAGTTCTTTTTCTCTTGTCAAGCAGGTCGTGAAAAATGAGCACTTTCTAAGCTCAACTCCGAAGGTTGTCCTTGAAAGGTGTTATAATTCTCGCTTTATTTCAATGCAGCTATTCCTAATGCTTAGTATTCTCGGATACCAATTCACTTGAGACGTTCTCCCAAATTAGAACACGGTTGAACAGGAAATGGATTTTATTCCAATAAAAAGGCTAGAAGGAAGATATAAGGTCCAAAGGAAAAGATGTTAGTATGTTTATAGTTTTTACATGAGAGGATTCTAGAATGTTACCCTATCTCGACTAGCGCTGATTGGATGCGAAAGAGTCAATCAGCATGCAGCCACGCAATCATTCTTTAATCCAATCTATGCCCCCCTAACAAAGGGCGAAAATAAATCAATCATAAGTTCCAACTAGAACACCTGGACTATGGCCACACGAACCTCTTGACAAGTCCTTTGGAACTACTATTCAAACAGTCAGACGATCTGGTTCGAGACGGGCACCAATGAGTAAATTATGCACTGCAGAAGCAGTTCGATCCATTTCTCAAATATGAACGGTTTTTCTTCCACATATTTTTCTGAAAATCCTCCAGTGTAAATAGAGAGAGAGAGTGCATAAAATTTGAGTTAGGGTAACTTTAAAAACTATGAGACTTCGTATCATAGAAATCATATTGAGTAATTTCTTACAAAAAGAATATTTTAACTGAATTAGAAAAGTTAAAATTTGACATTAAACAAAATTGCTAGATATTTCTAATAAGATTGGAGATGATGTGCGAAACTTAGTTTTGAAACAATGACAGACATATCCAATCGCAATAGTTCAAAAGAACAAATGGATTTTTACCATATGAACCAGTTCTCGTCATCTTCTAGTATCATAGAAATCGAACTCTTGGTGTTTGTTTCTTCAGTGTTATATAGTTTAAGTGTTCAATTTGAGGTCGTGTTTTAGTGATAAATGTACTCGAATTTCAGCTAATCGTTTTCCATTTTAAAAACTCTGCCTCAACTTTTTTCGTTAACGTACCCGGGCTGTTACCAGTGACATCAAAAGAGTGACTTAGAACTGCTGAACACGTAAATATGTACTTGTTAAATGAGTTATATTGTTTAATATTTCAGAGTCTTGATTTTTGATGTCTGGGAAGTATCACATCATCAATAAAATCAGTATTTAATAATAGTGTAGTGAACAAGAAGACAGGTGGAGCAACCGAATTGTATTTAACGAAAATTACAGAGTTACTCAGTAAAATTGGAAAACCATATCGTAAATCGTTCATTTGCAAAATATCAGTTCATCATATCGAACTTGACTGTTCCTGTTGCAAAACATCAATCCATTGTCACTACTATTCATACGTTTCATACAAATTCCATTGTGTTCTAACTCTTCCTTTCTTGATCTTCCCCCGTATTATGCTGCCAGACATTACGTTGACACTGACGTCATATACTACTTATAAGTAGCTCGCATCACAATAGGATTATTCCAAACTCTGTTATGTTTCGTTTGTAAGTTACTTTTGACTAGATAACATCAACCGTATATAATTAGTGGAATTAACTTCTCACCAATCTTATTGTCATTTTAAATTAGATAATTCCAACGTGTAGTGCCAACTTTTCTTTTTTTACTTAAATTTTATTATATTAATTCAGTATATCAAGCTACTGAAATAAATCATCGAATAAGTTTGTCTAGATTGTTCTGTATTTGCTCTTAAAACAAACTAATCTAACTTTCTTTAAACACATTTTTAGGATAAATTTATTAACTGATTACACCCAAAAAAGCTATTTGATCAATCGAATCAATACAGTGTCGGTGAATATTATTCAATGCCATTCAACTTGCATCAATCCCATTATACATCTGTAAGGAAGAAAAAATCTGAAATAAAAAATAATTTTGTTATATATAATTTAGATAATAGATACAACCATAAGAAATTCTGCACACATTTTACATTCATCTAAACCGAATTCTGATAGAAATTATAAATGTAAATTAATTGTAGCAGATACTATTGGTAATGTACATTTATTTCAATATTGCAATGGAGGATTAAAGGTAAATTTTAAAACAATCAAAAAACATTGTATAATATTTAATAGCATGTGAAATTTTCGGTTGAACCACCAATCACATGTATGCGTATCGGGACATATCAAAATACAGAAAAACAACGTATCATTATTATTTGTCATAATTTTAATATATCTGGATTTACACTAAAAGGAAAACAAGTTTTTGACTATCATTCAAGTATTCAAGGTTATGTGAATTCAATGTATGTTAACTAATTTAAAAAAAACAAATTAATTTGGTTGTTTTTCTTTTGCTAAGTTATCTAGGTTTATACAATCAACAAATATTTATTACACTGTACAATGTATGTATCAACGATTGACGAATTTTAAAGATACTGAATTTCTTCTATTACCGGATCTGATCACAAGTATATATGTGATCAAAAATGATGCTGTATGTACAGCGCCGCTGGTTGTTCTTGCTTGTAAAGATAAATTAATACGCATTTTAAAAGTAAGTGAGATTTTGAATTTTTCATTATCTTACATAAAAAAACATATTGGTATTACTGACTATTGTTTCATTTATTAGGACGGTGTATTGCTATCTGAATTGGAAATTTCCAGTTCTCCAGTCTGTTTGAATAGAGCGCATAAAAGTTACTCGTCAAATTATTTAATGTATGGAACATCAGAAGGTTATTTTGGTCTTTTCCAAGTGACCAGGTAAACATATCTGCATTTTTTTAAAATTTTGATCCAAGTATTCACAAAATAGTGTAAAAGAATAAATATATGCATTTTTAATAAATGTTCTAGTTTACATTACGGACTGATTGTAGTTACATACTCTTTGGAAACCATGGAGTGTTGCATAGCTGTTTCGTTCTAATATGGGAATTCTTAGCGGCAGGATGAGCATTCCTCTTTTAAACTACTGAGTTCGCATCCAACGGTTTGCGTCCTTGATCAATTGTTTTGTAGTGAACGATAACACAGGTGGGGCAACCGAATTGTATTTAACCAAAATTATAGAGTTACTCAGTAAAATCGGAAAACCATATCGTAAATTGTTCATTTGCAAAATATCAGTTCATCCTATCGAATTGGACTGTTCCTGTTGCAAAACATCAATCCATTGTCACTACTATTCATGCGTTTCATACAAATTCCATTGTGTTCTAACTCTTCCTTTCTTGATCTTCCCCCATCTTCTGCTGCCAGACATTACGTTGACACTCACGTCATATACTACTTATAAGTAGCTCACACCACAGTTTGATTGACCGCATTTTTTTATGAATGATAACCATTAACCATTAATTTTAGATAAATTTCATGGTTTTCTAGTATGAAATTGAGGAGTCTTGAATCAACCATATGATGAAGATAATCAACTCTGTGTAGTCTAATGGACTGTTACAGTTACAGATTGCTTATTGAAATATGTAAGGAGGAAAGTGTAGATAAAAGTGAGGAGTTACGGACCTTCTACTTTCTTTTAATGAATGTTGCTAGTTGAAGATGAAAACGGTCGTATAGTGAGTGTATTTATATTTCTGGAAATATTCTTGTATAAATAGTTGAAATATGTCAGTTTGTTACTTGAGACTTGATTGTCTCCTGTTCGATCTACTCTTGGAGTCTGTTAGTTTGGACATTTAAGAAATCAAATATAATAATACAAAACAATCTTTGATTGCCTGATAACTTTCATTGGTTGATTAGCTTGGTTAAATTATCTTAAAAGCAGTTAATCTGGGCAAACCTTTCATCGTAAAACAAACATTTTTTCCAGCCTTCATCAACTCGTTCTAGTAATGATTACTTTTTCATGATGAGTATCTATGCAGATACAGTTAAATATGTGCATCAAATAACTTAATGGAATATCTTTTTTGGTATGCCTTAAACTTGTATCTATAACAGAAGTGATTGTTTGAGGCCACGGTGGAGCTGGTGGGGGCCCGGGGGGGAGTTGGCGGTGCTGGGGACGCTGCAGGGAGGTGAGGCGACGGCGGTATACGACAGCCTGGACGGTCCTGCCGGGAAGACGGCATGGGAGACGGTCACCGGGCGGCTGATGACGGAGTTCGACAGCCCGGTGGACAGGGAGGAGGCGCCACGGAGGTTCCGGTTGGCGAGGCTGTCGGCTGATGGTGACCCGCTGGTGCTGGAGCTCACGATGTTGCTGCGCCGTACGCTGCCGAATATGGAATGGAAGTCGGGGGCACAGTTTTCGGCGTCGCAATTTATGGAGAGTGTGCCTGTCGCCGTGTTCCGGCAGCGGGAACTAGTAAACGCTACACGTCGGATAGATGCCGTATCCATTCCAGACCAGCGCGCAAGAACAATGACCGAAGTGGTAATCCGACATATCGTAGCGTGTCGCGGAATACGGAAGGTGATATTAACCTACCGGGGTCCCTGTTTTGAAAGACTACGACGACAGCTTATTAAAAGGGGGGACGAGTGTGGTGTGAGCTACTTATAAGTAGTATATGACGTCAGTGTCAACGTAATGTCTGGCAGCGGAAGATGAGGAGAGATCAAGAAAGGAAGCATTAGAAAACAATGGACTTTGTGTGAAACGCATGAATAGTGACAATGGATTGATGTTTTGCAACAGGAACAGTCCAGTTCGATATGATGAACTGTTATTTTGCAAATGAACGATTTACGATATGGTTTTCCTATTTTACTGAGTAACTCTGTAATTTTCGTTAAATACAATTCGGTTGCCCCACCTGTATTCTCGTTCACTACATGTATATATATATATGTATATATAATCTACTGAGTTTATATAGAACAGGTGGAATGTGGCTGGCACTGGAATCCAAGACGCGCATTTCGTCTTATTTAGGACTAGTCAGATAAGGGTGCGTGCATATCCGAGTTAATGTTCACTCTGGGTCTCGAACGTAGTATCGTTTGCTTCAAACACTGTCGCACTACTCACTTAGCTACTGAGTCAATATATTCATTCATTTTTACGATGTGTGTGAGATTTAATTCATTTCGAAATAGTTTGAATTATCCCATTGTTGATACTTTGACTGAAATTCGATCAGCCTTGATTGGCACGTGGGCAATAGCATTTGGTGCAAACGGTACTGGGTTCTAGTGCCAGAGTGAACATCAACTCTGAGATGCAGACAGACCCTATTGAGAACCCCTAAATAGGACGAAACTCGTGTCTTGGATCCCACTGCTTAGCTCTTTTTATCTATGTTATATAAATTTGAGTCATACTGCCTATATCGAGAGAGTTCGCATAGAATGTCTACATGCCAACCAAAACTGGTCAAATTTCAGTCAAAATATCAACAACGGAATGATTGAAACCATTTCAAATTGAATTAATCTAATGAATGTTGCATGTCTATTGGTGCTTATCTACAGAATGAATATTCAAAATCGGTATTCTTCATAATTTGCTTTTAGTTTTACTGTACCTGATCAAGTTAGACATTAACACCGGCTCAGTGGTCCGATGGTTAGGCGTTCGCGCACAATACCGAAGGTCTTGGGTTCGAATCCTGCGAGGTGCAGGAGTCGTGGATGCGCACTACTGAGGAGTCCCATACTAGGACTAAACGCCTGTCCAGTGCTTCCAGGTTTCTAATGGTGGTCTAACATTGATCGATTCATGGTTTCAAAAATGTGTAACTCAACAATCTTCGCAACCCCGTAATGTAAAAATGTTTTTGGCAAAGTTAGCCTATTTTTGTGATAACTAGGGTTGGAATCTGTAATCCGGGCTTACTTTACATAATTGTTAATAGTCACATATGTGTACCTGCATCTCAGTATTAAAACTCATACTGAAACATGAATTTAGTATTTGCTACTTAGTCTACTGAGCTATAAAAATTGCAATAACTACAGATTTATCTGAACGAAGATTAATTTATTAAGCGTAACTTGAGAATCTATTTATGGATTATTTTTGCATGTAACTTCATTGTATAAATAGATTAAGTAACTAGATTAACAGGTTTATACATATTTTATCAAAAGTTTTCCATTAACTCATAAACTATTATCATATGATTTATGATTCTTATTTTGTTGACAGTTTACTGTTTCAAGTCTCCCCTGATAACTATTTTTTTGATTCATTCATGTATAACCGATATTTTACATTTACTGATATGATAAATGTCTGATCTTGATTGAACCAATCGTCAAGCACAGAGTTATCAGTTCTCTGATCCTTGTGTTATGTATTGGTTATTCTCATAGGTCATCTTTACGCATTGGTCGCATTAGACACAACAAAGCCAAAATAGCTATTAGCTTGTTTAACAATTATAATGCATATAATTATTCCTAATTGTTTATATTTTCATGTTTTACAAATTCTTCCGTTTCATTTAAACAGCCTATACTGACAATAATTATTAAATGAGCTGAGTATGGTCTTGACTTACTAGCTTTGTGTATAACTTAAAATTCAGTGAAAAATGGATACTGAGTTTGCCAATGAACGGGATACAAAGTACATCCAATCGATGATGGATCCCATAGATACTAATCAAACACATTTTCGTTAAAGAATGACAGACAATATGAAGACATAAATTACTCCGATTATTTAATTTTATTGACATGAAATTTTCTGAAAGCAGCTTTTATTCTATACTTTATGCCCAATTTGTTGCTATTTATACTATTATTATTATGACTATTATTGTTCTTTTATAGTGAAGATGCGACGAAACTATGGGAAGTGTCGTCAAAATTTGGTACCAATGAAATTCTATCCCTTGAACATTATGATATGTTGAATTATAATGATGATAATAGCAACAATATTGATTTTGTTGATGGTGAACATGTTGATGAGATATTGATTGTAGCTTTTACAAATGGAAGAATTGAATTGTATAAATATGATCAATGTAAATATCCAGTACTGATTTATGAAACAGTAAGTAATGGAGATATATATTTGATAACATTGTGAAGATTATTTATACATTGTGAGTAAGGTTGACAGAGGAACCTTTCATAATATATTGATATATTATCTTGATAAAAATTCATAATTAGACTATGTTTACTGGGTATGTTTTATCCTTGTTTAGAACTCTTCACTTACGACTTGAAAAAATGAGATCAAGCTAATTAGTTTAAAATTCTGGTGGTTAGGTGTAAGCCCAGGGAACAGCAAATAACTTGTCACTGACATTCTATGAAGAACGCAATATATATATATGTCACAGAGTTTTTAAAGTTCAACAGATTTAATATAATGAATGACAGTTTAGTGACTACATAATACTCTGCTTCTTCTCCGATTCAAGAGTTCTGAGTTCAGTCGTTTATGGGTCTAACGATGTGTAGTGTTTTGGGAGACCTAAATCACAGAAATTTACTTACATCGATTGTTTACTGATTCTTGATCATCAATTTAACTTGTCTTGGCTCGTTATAAATTTGGTCGTTTAGTTGATATATACGTTAGGCGTTGACACGAAAGATTGAAGTTCCAGAGTCGTCAGTGCCCACTGCTATGGAGTTCAGTACTAGGAAGAGACAGATGTCTAATGCTTCCTCGTTTACGATGATGATGAGTCATCGATGAAATTTATGAAAACGGAATAATTATCAACGAATATAAATTATAATTAAAAATGCTTCAAAAGTCAATGAACAGAATTTTCATTGAAAAAATTAACTTATCAGAAATTCATCGCAAATGGGTACAAGTTACCTTCCGCTTAATTTCTATCTAGGGATTTCACTTCAACATAGGGCTGATGGACCCTATGCAATGCAAATCCATGTTGCCCAGTAAAAAAAAGTATTATCTGTAACGATTTGGTTAATTGACGAACGTATGTGAAAGTATACGGCTTGTTCAACTGTTAATTTTTGAACAGAATACTACTTCGAATTTCAACCGAATAGGTTTTAAAAGATATTTTAATGACAGTCATAATGTGGAGAATAATGTTCCTTTCTGTACATATGATAAATGTAAATGTTAATCTCATTGGCGATGGTGACTCGATAGTGACTCGTATCAAGTAATCTCATTTACGGCACTGATCAAATCTTATCGACAATCAATGTAGAAATGTAAAGATCACAGTGAATTTTGTTTTTTTTTGTAAGGTAATTGAAAACAATAGGCAGCTGAGGAGGAGGCTCCAGTTCTTTTGAGCTAAATGTTACCGATTAGCAAAGGTCTTCTATAACCAACAGAGAAAACGGATATTTTGTCAATCAATCTAAAACGGTTACAAAAGTCATGTAGTTGATTCTCGTGCTACTTTGGAAACGACGCAGGAATGTTGGCTTAATTTCATATTCTTTCATTTTTTATAGGTAGAGAGTTTGCAGTCATAAATGTATTAACTTGTTTGTTCATTTTGGAAATGACCTGTTTGGTCTATTTCTTTTTTTTCGCACATTGTAGAATGTAAATCATCATTTAACATCTGTAAAAGCTGGTCGATTCTCGATTGTGAATTATCCGGAACTTTTATGCATCACATATACAGGTATGTGTTTGTTTTGTTTTGGTATGCATACAAATACACCTATTTAATCTTCTGCTACTTCCATCATAGTCTTAAAAACCATAGTGTTTCAAGTTTATTATACTACTACTGTGGTGCGCGCTACTTATAAGTAGTATATGACGTGAGTGTCAACGTAATGTCTGGCAGCAGAAGATGGGGGAAGATCAAGGAAGGAAGAGTGGAAACACAATGGAATTTGTGTGAAACGCATGAATAGTGAAATGTCAGACAATGGATTGATGATGAATTGAAGATTTGCAAATTAACCGTTTATGATATGGTTTACCGATTTTACTGAGTAACTCTGTAATTTTCGTTGAATACAATTCGGTTGCCCCACCTGTGTTCTCGTTCACTACACTACTACCTTTTACTTTTCCCTTATTCTAATGCCTCATTCCATTAAGTTGCATCTTTATTTCTACACTTCATCTTACAGTGTTGTTACTCAGCTACTTTGTACCGGCATTACTTTTTATGACGCGGATGACGTTTTTTAGTGGACAGTCAAATTCTTAACAAGCACATTTTTAGTTGTTTTGTTTTTATTGAATTTTCCGTTACGATGTTCAATAAATTCCCGGTACCTTTAGAAAACATACAGTTGGCTACCACCTTCAGAGAATTAAAACATAATATATATGTTTATAATTGTACACTTGTGGATAAATTCCTCTCAAAGAGATAAATATTTTGTATTATGACACACTGTCTCAACATACATAATGGAAAAAGCAAAATTCTCCGATGCAACACAACATCCACCAACCAAATCACTCTTGATGGAGATGCCTTGGAGGACGTTAACACCTTTACATATCTGGGCAGCAGCATCATGGACAACCAAGGTGGATCGGATGCAGATGTGAGGGCACGGATTGGCAAAGCAAGGGCTGCATTTCTACAGTTGAAAAATATCTGGAACTCCAAACAACTTTCAACCAAAACCAAAATCAGGATATTCAATACAAATGTCAAGACAGTTCTACTGTATGGAGCGGAAACTTGGAGAACTACCAAAGCCATCATCCAGAAGATACAAGTGTTTATTAACAGTTGTCTACGCAAAATACTTCGTATTCGTTGGCCACACACCATCAGCAACAACGAACTGTGGGAGAGAACAAGTCAGATTCCAGTGGAGGAGGAAATCAGGAAGAAGAGGTGGAAGTGGATAGGACACACTGCGGAAAGCACCGAACTGCGTCACGAGACAAGCTCTCACATGGAACCCTCAAGGTAAAAGGAAAAGAGGAAGGCCAAAGAATACATTACGCCGAGAACTAGAGAAAGATATGAGAGGAATGAACAAACATTGGACAGAACTGGAGAAGGAAGTCCAGGACAGAGTTGGTTGGAGAAAACTGGTGAGCGGCCTATGCTCCATTGGGGGTAACAGGCGTAAGTAAGTAAACTGAAGTATTATGACACACTATATTCTTGGTCAACCAATATACACACACTATGAAATATCGTAATGCGTATCAAACTCTTTTCATATTGCGAGTAATACTAATTGCAAAGACAATAAATTTACACTTTTTGATAATTTAATTCTTAAGGTTTAATTTTTGGCCTAACTACACAACCACTCAAAAAAGAAGCAATCATTGATCAACCTGATCCAATGCAACTTCAATTTATGTCAAAAATCAGTAAATTAAAGTGAGTGATCAGTTCTGGTTGTTAGTGGCTTTTTTTTTAGTTTTATGGGGTTATTTGCATAATTTCATTTCTGACAATAAGGATATTTTATCATAGATTAGAGCAATAAAGAACAATTCTTATAGTAGTAATTTTTACTCCAGGATTATGATTTGTAAGCAATTAATATGATTTATAACACCAGATGTATTCAGTTTACATAATCGAATTCATTTCATAAAAGATTAGACGAAGTTTATTGTATAGCTGTGTTTTGTCACAATTAGTCTTTAATATCACTTCCTGTAATCCAGGATGCTATTTGCCTGGGTTTGAATTCATCTGCTATAACTGGAATCCTTAAATTTTATATTCAATAGAAGTTCATTTGATATTATCCATCTGTTGGGGGAGTTCCGAAATATCCTAGAGACATTTTATCCAATCAGCATGGAATGGAACCTTCACAAAAACATCTGGAAAATAGTTCTCGAAACTTTTAGAAGTACAAGGGCATGAGTAGCTTTATAAATAGCCTCATCTGTCTGTACATAAACTAACTTTGGAATAGATAATTCATCGCGTACTTCGTGCCTTTTCTTTTGTGTTCAAGTTGCCGTGTAGAATTAGCCTAATGGTTACTAGAAGTGGATAACAATTCAGATCTTGCGTTCATTTAAACAGACTTTTCACAAATCTCTTAAGTTGGCTAATCACAAACTAGCAACTACATTACAAGTTGATCGATATTATTTTATCGTACTCGAAAAATGCCAGACAGACATGACACTCACTGGCTGCTAACCAGTAATCAACTAGTTATAACTGTATTGCTGCTCAAAACATGGAGTTTTTTATCAGCTAAGTTTTGTAAAACTGTATTTCTGAAAATGCTTTTGCCCCTTGAGACTTTTTTTGTTGACTGAGGAAAGATTTTCGTAAATCAATTCAAAAAGCACGCAGAATCAAAATCATACAATTAATTGTTTAGTTTAACTAAGTTTAAAACAAAATCACTCTAATTTATTTCAAGACATTTTGCTAGTTCTAAGACATCCTTGGATATCTTCAGATTTCAGTTATATTTGTGTTCAATGTTCCATGATTTCCGTTTTCAATGTTCATTTTTTTGTTTGTCCTTTTTTTTTAACTAAACAGTGAAGAAATTTCCGATTTAGAAAATCAATTACAACTGATGAAATCCAATCAAAATCAATTAGAAAAAGAGCAAATCATTTTAATGCCGCTGGAATTAGATTATAAATTTTATTTAAATAAAGAATTATCTGCTTATTGTTTAAATATAGAAACTCAAATACCAATTGATCATATATTAATACAAAGTGATTGTCTTCTGGACTTATTTGATGTGGAAGAGAATACTGCTGTCAGCAGTTCCAGTGAATGTACAAAGGGTGTAAGTATAGTTATATATATATTTCAATGTATTATTATTATTAAGGTTCTTGTTTTACAAATGGCTTACTTCAAACTGTTCGTTTTGAACTGATGATTTAACGGTTATGTAATATGAGGATCTAAATCAGTAGGTGCCAGTGTTGTAGCCGGCTCACTCAATTTAGACAACCGTTTAATATTACTGCTAGCAATCAAACAAAGTAAGAAGTATCTTTGAAAAAATCAATATACCCGAATCTGGTTTTAGTATATGAAAAATAGAGCTCACATTAATTAAATTTCAAACAATCACTTAATAATTTATGCTGGCATCACATAGTAAAACACAATTGATTTTTTCTCAATATGAAGGAGAAATAATGCAATTACAAAAAGAAGATTGCATTACGAGGTTGTGAAGATTGTTAAGTTACACACATTTTGAAACTATGAATCGAACAATGTTAGACCACCATTAGAAAGTTGGAAGCACTGGACGGCCGTTTCGTTCTAGTATAGGGCTACTCATCAGCAGGGAGCACAGGTAATTGCATTACGGAGTTGTGAAGATTGTTAAGTGACACACAACCCCGTAATGCAATTACCTGTGTTTACTAGTGACTAGCTTTGTGAGGAATCTTTTCCGAGTTCTAGTAGGAAGTCGTGACCAGTGAAGTTCAACTCGTTCGGGTGTAGACAGTAACTACCGAAGACTGTGCATGAGGTTACGTAACTCCGTGAATTGATCGAAGTTAGACATTAACAGCGTTAGATACCGGCCCGGTGGTCCGATGGTTAGGCGTTCTCGCACAATACCGAGGTTCCTGAGTTCGAATCCTACGGGGTACAGGTGTACACTGCTGAGGAGTCCCATACCAGGACTTGAAGGCCGTCTTTCGGTGCTTCCAGGTTTCTAATGGTGGTCTAACACTGATCGATTCATGGTTTCGAAATGTGTAAACAATAGGATAAACTGTTCAGTCAAATTGTTCAGATCATGACACACAGTGAGTGTACTTCAGTATCCAATGATGTTATTGACCATTGGCTATATTTTTCTTTTTTTAAGAAAAAACCGATTTATTTTTTATTCTTTTCTATTTGCTTTTTAATTAGGATGGCAATGTATTATTAACAACTTATCGATGTCAAGTGAATACAACACAATTTGACGCGCAATTTCGTACAGTCGAAGGTCAATATGGTCATTTATCAGTGTATATTGTACCAAAAATGAATTTATCATCCATAATTACATGTAAATGTATCAAATTAACAATTTATCCATTATCATTACATTGTTTAATTCATCGTATCGATGATGATCCTTGCAAACGGTGAGTTGATTTATTTTATCCGAATAGAAATTTCAGTAAACGAATAATTCATTGGTAAACCAAAGAGATTTATAATTTTTAGCAATTCAATCCATTATTATTGTTATGATGTGCAATGTCTCAAATGTAGACTGCATATACGCTAACCCCTCCCCCCTGATTTGGCTATTTGAGCGAGAAGAAGGCAAAAGTAGAAGTGATCAATGATATGCAGTCGTCATTTAGAATGTTTCTATTGGTCGTCAAATAGCCTTTACATTTGGATACTTCTGTTTGGCGCATGGAATCAATTGTTTTACGTAGAATACAGTAACAAATAAGGAACCATTTATGAAAATTTACATCATTAAATAAGTAAGAAGAATAATTTTCTACGGATCATATCATACTTGACGTAACTTGGAATTTCGACAGTGTAGTTTATCAAAATGTAAAGCAGAGATGAAATGGTTATAAACCAATAGGATACGTAATCTGAACTACACATATAAGCGAACAATATTGTTTTCGATTAGATCGTCATCAGGCTTTACTCTAATATACATGAATATTTATATGAAAATGTTAAACCAAGCAAGGCAATTTGAGTGATAATCACAATGAAATGAAAAAGATTACGTAACTACATCTAATAGGCAAAAGTTCAAGTGGATAATAGGAAAACAGGTGTACTGATAGTAGTAAGAAAATTTATAAAATATGATAACTAAAGTAGGTCAAGGGTGGATGAATAGAATTCAAATAATCATCAAAAACATTACGTAATAAGCAAATGTGTAAAAATAAAATAAAATAAAAAATCAAAAAATTAATAAAAATATGTCAATCGTTAGTTACGTCATATCCGGCCACGGAAGAGATAGGGGTGTCACGAATTTCTTCTGAACACATAAATTGGGGTTGAATGTACGTATTCCTATGGCTTCTGCAATGTGTAGGAGACGGGATCGAACTCCGTTGGGAAATGATGGAGGTATACGATAGATCACCCGAAAAGATCTAGATTTATCTACAATGTGACCACTATCTACCAGGTGTGCTAAGATAGAACTGCGTATTGTTTTTAACTGGCCCTTTCTAAACTAGGCTGAGAGGTGTTCATTCATCTGAACTCTACTCCATTTCTTATCCGGAGTACTGGTAGCTAAGTGATGTATTCTTTCTTTGCCTCTATGCACAATGGACCATTTACATTTTTTTTTATTAATTCAGTTTCATATATATACAGATAATTTTATAATAATTTTATTTTGTTTTTTTCTTCATAAAAAAGATATTGGAATAGTTTACAATTAACTGGAAATTTCTCTTTAACAGAAATGCACAATTGGTTATTTATGTGTTTACCTGAAACACCTGAAAGGCCTACATTAAGCACATCAACTACATTTCAATGTAATGATTATAAAAGTCAAGAGATTCAAGAATTTGCTCAATTGTTCTATGAATCAATTTATCTTAAAAGTCAATTGAAATGTGTTTATGCAAAAGGTTATGCTAATATTCAATCGGACAATCTAACTACAATTGCTATATTGAAAGAGGTTTTGACTAGAGAAGCTACCAGAAAGAAAATTCAATTATCAATTAAATTAGGTGATTAAAATTATTTGAATTTTCGAAATGATGAAATAAATTGTCTTGTACAATATAATTCAGTGATAAGCTGGTTGTTGTGATAGTGTTGCGGTAAAACAATTTGTTTTAAAAAGTTCAAACTACTTTTGAAATTTTTAAGTAGTTAGATGCTAAATAGTGGTGTCGTATATGTTTCTGATACTAGGGGTTTTCATGAAAGCTTTTTAAAATAATTTCATATTTAATTAACTTTTAAACACTTTGTTTCGAATAGTTTTTTTTATCACTGATCAGATGTTTGGGTTGTATGTGGATTTCGACAGTTTCATTTCAAACCTTTCTATCAATCAAGATTAAATAGTGTACACTGTGAATAAATAAAAAATACTTTAGTTCATTGTAAAAAAATATTTCAGATTATTGTGCACTGTGAATATAAAGAATTTTCTAAGGTTTAAATCATTCACCAGTGACTATGATTATAGTTGCACAAGTAGAATATCTGAAACTAAAGAAGCCCACTGACTCACTGAGAAGAATGAGAAGACATTTCAGCAAAGAGAACTTTCTGATGATATAATTGTCCTTCGGACCCCAACCAGGTAGTCTGCATCTTCTAACATGGCTAAGTTCGACTTTAAGAGACACTATGAACTGACGTCATGTTTTGGTTTGACCGCCTCAAGCCTTTTCCCGACCTACTCCTACACCAGACAGCATCGTCCGTTGAGGAAGTTGGCGTTTGAACATACATAATGAGTGTCCTAACCACCTCAACTGATGGAGATGCACTGTTTCATCAGTTGATTCCCTATCACTACCTATTACCCTTTTCCTAACACTAGCATTGCTTAATTGGTGGTCCGTGGATGTACGAGCAATGCTTCGAAGACACGTATGCTCCAGCATCTAGTAGCTTACGAATATCCACTATCCTTAGTTGCCATGTTTCCTACACTGCTGGCAGTAAACTCGTCTTTTAGTTAGTAGACGGATATCTCGCCTACGTCATAATGTTTGCCTGTTCATTGCACAATTTTATTTACACATAGATTATGTGCAATAGTTTATGTTCTCACTGCAACTACAAGTGTTTGGCTTTTTTTAATCGAATAAATGTTGAAGTGATAAATCACCTGGTGGTTTCAAATTTAACCTTTTCTGTGTTTTTAATATTTTTTTTGATTCAATGAATAAATCTGGACACATTTGTTAATTTATTGTAATGACCGTTGGGCAAATATAATAGCAATACTATAGAGGTATCTATTTCGAGATTATGTGCCAATGAAGGTTGATTAGTTCATTCATATAAAAATCAATAACAGGAAACATATGAATTCTAGTAAACATGAACTTGTTCAGTGGTGAACTAGAGATGATTACTGATCCAATCATTCAATAATCAAAAGACAATAGAATATGAAGTATAAGAATTAATGTTTTACTACTGATAGCATAACTTTGTGAACACAGAGTATGTTTGTGTACAATAAATATGCATTTTAGTGAAAATCCCACTAATCTCAACTACCTAGTCTGAACTTACCAAAACAACCTAACCCAATAGTTAGTGACTTCATGGACTGAAGTCATGTCTTAATTTGGCAGCCTCTAGCATTTTCGAACCCATTGTAACACTAATTAATATCATGTAATGAGGTACTTGGTGGTTGGGCATAAATCCATCAGCGTTACAGCCTTCTCGGTCGGTGAGGATTCAGTCTTATCAACCGGTTTACTGACCTAAACTTGAAATTAAAGTGGCTCATTCGATATTCATGGATTCATTTTCTGAGTGGTTGGTATATATATAACTCCTCCTGGAACCCCTCTGGGGCTACTGCCGGTTCCAAGCTTGGATAACAGAGGAGAGTGGAGCGTGGGGTTAGCGACTCCATCTCGTAGAAAACTAACTCGCTAAAAAGACTAACAAGCATTATATATGTATATATACTGCCACCAGATAGATAGTTTCTTCCTTTTTGGCCTTACTGCTCAAGAAACGAGTTTGGAGGTGACTGTGTATCCGGTTCAAATTTAGGACACCTCACATCATAAATAACATCTTACTAAGAAGATCAATCGTACTAGTGCAGTAACAATCGATTAATGTGAAGGATTCTTTCCTATTGATTTATTTTAGATATTCATCCGGATAGTGCAGAGTACATGTTAAAAATGATTGACAACAAATTGGTTTATCTTAAAAATTTAGAAGAAAAAGTGCGATTAATCAAGCCCATTACAGAGTTGATTTCAAACAAAACTCAGCACATCAATGAAGTGAATAAAGCGAATGGTGTTTTTGAACAAATTACTCATAGTGAAAATCCATTTCCAGATTGTTTACCTTTAGAATATGCACAAATATGGCGAGATTCGGATAAATTAAAACAAGAATTCAAATATCAATCATGTCAATTAAATCGATACTACGGTAAGCTATTTTATTTTCTAATACAACCTAGTTATCAACTTTGAAATATACAATACAAATTCACTCTATATATCGCTTCCTTATGTAGTACAAACCTGATCAGTTGTATATTAATAGAAATAATGAGTCAATTAACTCTAGGGAAGATCATAAAGCTTTTAATTTCAATCCAAAATAGTTCATTTTAACTTCACCTTAAACCAGTCAAATGTTCCATGTGTTTTCTCTGTTTTAAATCAGAATGAAAGAAATCTGAATGTAATTCAAAAGGTTTTATTAAGTTCGTCATTAGGTAAGCTTGAAGCTATTACGAATTCACCTTAGTCGATAAACGCAAACGAGGCAATGAACCAGCGTCCAGATAGGCTACCTTGAATCCCAAGCTGAAGATAAAAGGTTTTGTAAGCGTAGAAAGTATATTCTACAAACACCCAGCAATCACAATACAATCAAGCATACAACTCTCGTTTATTTATACATCATAGAAACGTCCTTGGGACAATTACGAAAATAGCACACTAATAAAATACACAGCAGCCAATCATAGCCATGGATTCTGCTGGTGGGAATTGAAATCTTAAGGTCAATTGATCAGCCCATGCTGGCAAACGTGAAAACCAAAATAAGGCATTTAACAAGCGAATTTTGGGGATCTCACATCCCCAACAGATTTCAAATTAATGAAAAAGCAATAATTTTTTATTTACGTGTAAAATGGTCTCATAGTGCACGTTGAGTAATATATTTTATTTTCCTGTGGAAATCATTAATTTGTCTTTTAATTGAATTTTCAGAGTGTATCGTCCGTCTCTACATTGACAAATATCATTTTCAAGGCAAAGATGTGAGCTGTAGAAAAAGTGATTTATTCAAACTTTTGGAAAATTATAATTTGGATAAATTAATTGATTATTTTAAACAAGAACCGTCTATATGAAACATTTTTGTAGTTTCTTTTTTTCTAACAATTTGCTTATATGCTTTTAAACATTGGATTTTATGGTAAATTATATCATAACTTCAAAGTAACTCTTGAATCAGTTATATACTTGATCTGCTTACTATTCAGTAGCTTAATTGGTGTTATCCCTGCATTTGTACACAAGTTATCATGTCTTAAAATAATAACAAGCCATTTTTATCTATTAGTTATCAATTTTAAAAAATTGTTGATCAATCAAGCCTTGTCCTGCTGATTCATAGATTGAATGTTTATGTATACCTCGTTCATTATTTATCCGATAATGATTGAATAAATCAATTGAATGTGTGCAAAATCCTACAGTGAAAAAGTGATAAGTATAGCATATACATGATACATGATTATTTATTTTAAAATTAACAATATATTCTATTGAGAATATACAATTAGCGTTTTGTTTTGATGTACACTGGTTGATCCATGATTAGTGACCATTGTTTTGTTGGTTGAATTGTCCGAATGTTGATTGAATTCTGTCCAAAAAAGTTACGATCTGGCGATTACTCTCTGAGCAGCTGAAAATCACGGTCATAATGGTAATATGTTAGGTGGTGGCAAGAAGTCAACCAAGGAACACTAAATGACCTTGTTTTGATACCATTTGAAACTCATAAGTAGGTGTGTTTTTCTGTTGGATTCGAACTTCCATCATCATCCAGCTTCACAGTTTCAGATGTAACCATTGAGCGCTGTTGAGATAACTACTTACCTGAATAGGGATAAATAAAGCATGCGAATAACTATTTCATGGTTGTCATGCAAAGTACATTTTCACTATTTATTTTAGATAATAACAGCCATTAAGCTGTGTATTAATCAGTTTGAAAAAAAGAAAACATTTTTCTTGACAGACAACTAACTTTTTTTCGCAGGTTTATCAAAACACTGAGTTTTATTAAATAAAGTGTTGTAAGTAAACCCTAAATCATATCATAACAGATCATGCTTGTTCAGTAGAACAACTGAAATCAATGAGTAAATAAACGTTGGGTTGATCGATGTAAAGACTG